ATTATCAGTCAGTGCAACTACATACACAGAGTTACCTAATGTAGCAGATTCCTAATTATTAATTACCGATCGAGTAGGAGTTCATATGATAAAGGCACCAAGGGTTACATTCATAAGAGAACTATCTTACACCTTCTGTCTCTTAGAAAATTGAGCACTTGGAATATCAAACTCTTGTTATTAATGTTGAGGACTTATTTCATCCTGCATATAAATGTAAGCATCGGCATTCTATTCAAGGTAGCTTTAAATATAGTCATTTATATACTCGCTCTCTGTTTCTGAAGCTTATCTCTTGCCTAGAGTGAATCGTTGTACATTAGCTTTAGTTAATGGGTTGTTGTTATTATTACTGTTGATGTTGTTACTATTGCTATTATTAGTTGGTGTTTTACTTTCAGAAGGCGGTAAATACCTATCACACAACTTACACACCTATGGACTCACACACTTGACAAAGAGATCAGTTCTCTTCTATAGACATTAAGCATGTTAATACTTTATGTTTACCATGCTTAGCATCTGCTTGGGTGACAATAAGTTAAGATATGTATAGTTTAACTAGGTGACTAGCTAGTCATTGGCATAATTTTACTAGGTGGGCAGTTTTAATAAAATACTTACCTAGAGGACATATTTCACACTCAGCACTTCGACAAGCAACAAAACAGACTGATTCTTTAGGTGTACCTTTCGTTGTATGACTTTTAACATGCCTTGGCCAGTTACTACCGTCAATGACTTTCTTAGAACTACATCCTTCAACAGTACAATGTTTATTGATAGCTCCCCATTTACTCTTACTTGTGATGACTGACATTGAAGTTTCAGCAATTGAAACATTATCAATCATATCAATAGAAGCTTACTATTGTTATTAATTATCCGTGCTTTTCAAAACAGCTACTGTATTCCTATGAATTATCATTTCTTTAGGCTTTTCTTGTTGATGTGAGTGCAATTTTGCTGGCAGTTCAACCTAAGAACCGTCGTTCTTCACATCTTCATTTTAAATCAGTGTTGGCGTTTATCCTTAAGGTAACTCTTTATCATATCATAATTTAAATTTCTGGAACCATTCAAACTGGGGTTCTCCTTTGCTGCTAATGCCCAATTTCATCAATGAATACAATCCCTCTTCCATTTATGAAAGTTGGTATCAGCACAAGTGAACCCTAGATCCTTGTAAAATCCCTTGGATTCTCTAGAAGCATGCAAAAAATCATTTCACAAGAGGACCCCAACCTATAAGTGAGCAGTGC